CGTGCATTTACGAGCTGCTGTGTGTAGCTCTGTCAATATCTCATGTCGAGCAAGAGACAATATTTTTCGAAACGGCAAATCCTTTCCACTCATGTTATTATAAAACTACTTATTATTATACTTCTACACGAAGTTCTTTTCAATTGTTAACTGAATAATTAGATTCTGCAGTGCAACGAAATTCGGAGGTTTATGAAAATTATTGATTTTTATTTAATAAAGTGTGATATCTAATGTTTATGCTATATAATTATTTTGGTTCTAAGAATAAAAATCTAGAAGATTAATAAATAAATTAAGAGCGTTAAAATGGTTGATAAAGAAACTAATAAAATATATTTTCTGCATAAAGATTCACACTTAGTATTTAAACGTCCTGAAGTTAGTGTAGGTTGAATAGCATTAAAATATTGTATTTTAACATTTTTAACTTATACTTATATTTTACTTATTCTTATACTCTAACATTATGAGTTATAAGATATATTATGTGAAGTTTCTTAAAAGCATAATTAAAGTATATGTTAAAGTTATATGTTAAAGTATATATGAAAAAAAAATGTTCCTCTCTTTGATTCAGTGTATATTATTTCACCTCATATGGAACAGTAGATTTAGAGTAATTTTTAGTCTTAGAGATATTGTATAATTTCACGTAAGAAACATTTAATATTCATATTTACTTTTCTTTTTATTTACCTTGCTTTTAATTTTATTTTAGCCGATTCTGCACAAGATTAAAATTATAGTTATATTTATTTGATTTAAATAACATGATTTATAACGCGGTTTGTACTCTAAAATATTGTTGTTTTAAGCTTCGTATTCGGTAATTATTTGATTGAATAAAAACAAATTTTATACAGGTTGATGTTAAATGTAGTTGAAATTGGAAGGTAAAAAAAATTACTAAAGCTACCCGGAATTATAAAAGTCTTGCATTGTGAAGTTTATACACGTGTGCGTCATAATACATGTATAGGCAATTTTAAATTTTCGATTTGATGCTTAGACCATCGCGCGTTCAAACTTACTCAGGCAATCTTATGTAACACATGTAGTTTAATAAATTTGTAAATCTTTTGTATTTCCGTTTTTTTTTTGTTGACATATTATGGAAGTTTGTAATTATTATTTTTGGATATTATATTTAAAACTGATAATTACAATTGAAATTTGAACATTTTTCGAGATTCCAACTAGTAAAAAAAAAAATTACTTGAAAGTATTATTAATTGTTTTATACGAATATTTTTATTTGTAAATTATGATTGTGTTGCACATTAAAGATTCTAAGAAAAATTAATTATTATTGTAATATAATAAGATCTGTTAGATTTAATTAGAATATCTTCATAATTAGTATTAATATTTAATATATCAATATACATAGTGCAAAAATGATCACAGTTATCATTCATAATTACAATAAAATCTAACTATGTTTTTATCTTGATTAATTAGCATTAAATTATATTCATTAAGATACAATACTTTCATTATATTATTGTAATTGATTCATCTTATTATACTTTTTGTTTACATCGTACATATGCTTGTCAAACATATACGTGAACTGTTATTATTTCTGCTTATATTTTATCAATAATTATATTTGCATTATCTCATATAGTATAGTGATAAATAAGTTATAATATGAACAATAAACATGGAAATATATGAATATATGTTTACTTGCTAGTTATGCATATGTCTACTATTTAAAATAATTAATGTTGCATAGAATAAATAGAAAATTTGAATCCATATAGTAGATTAAATTTATGCTAATTTATATTAAATCATTAATTTTATTATGATTAATTTAATAACTATTTAATGTTAAATTAATTTAACATACTAATGAATAATTTCTATATTTCGTGTTAGAAATAGATAATTTTTAATTATTTCTTATCGTTTTTCATTTAGTTCTGTATGTTGTATTTGTTAAATTTTAAATATAATTTTATTCGTTAAACTATTTATTTTATTACTTAAAAATTTTTTATCATTGTTTTAAATTTTTTTATTTATTTATTTTGTTTATATCCAGAATATATTTTCTTGATTATTTTGAAGAGATTATCTTTTAAATTAGAGGTTTCTTTTTTTTGCAATGAGTTATTTTTTCGAAGCACAACTGAACATGATCCATGATAGAAGAAAAAAAAATGAAAAAAATGATGCTGCCACATCTATCAAATAAGAAAATAGCGCTCTTTTAATACTTTCATTTATAATATTAATAGAATGCTTTGAGATACGGCTGTGCACTTAGGTGTACCCAAGCTGTGAAGAAAAATATTCGCGCATAGAGAAGCTGTTCGTATATATGAGATGTCGATTATTGGTCGCATTTTTCTCATACATATTTTCTTCCTCTTTGTATATAAGTGTTTTTTCTATGGTAATAGGCATTTCATTCGTTATATGAGCTCTCCTTCCTATTTTTGGCGCACTGCTTAACAAACCACTGTAACTCATCGTTGATTTTTCGTTACGTTCGCCATTTTTCGTGTATCACTAAGAGATGCAGTTCATTTTTATGTCAAGATGTTTGTTGCGCTAAAATATACTTTAAGAACATTCTTTATCTAACGACTTCATATTAATTCGTCGACTCATATTTTAAAATTATTGCACAAATGACAAATTGCGAAACACGATGAGATGCGTTGAGGTTAATAGCGAATAATTCTCTTCCTAATTAAAATTTCATCCATTTCTTGCTTAACAAATTAGCGTTGAATGTATAAAAGCGATACTCAAATGTATAAAATAAAACTGAAACTATTATATAATAATATTATTTATGGAACTCTTCTAATAAAAATTGTTTTAAACTTAACTTTATATATTTTTTCTTGTATGCATTTCTTAACATTTATTTCCGAAACATAAAATTACCACATACCGGGTAATTAAAAATATATGTTTAATGGGTTGACGTACTTGCTAAGTTGCACAGTATTATTATATTAGATGTTCTAAATTTTATTAAAATATAATATATTTTTTGTTTTATAAATATTAAGTATCCAAATAATAATCATATTAAATCAATAATATTTATAATATAATATTTATAATTTTTTACCATTTTTATCGAGTAATACATACATTTATTATTCACATTTTAAATATTATTCATATAATACATTGTATAATATCTACATATATTTGTATAATATTTACATCATGAAATGAAAATATTCATTAAACATTTGAAACTTAATTTTATAAATTATTAATTAGTTATAATGCAGGTGATTTTATATAAAAGCGCAATGTTACAATTATAATTTTAATCAATTTAATTTCATATAATATGGTTTCATTTTATTTTTTATCTTATACTTTGGCATTTTTGACTGACAACTTGACTAGCTTGTCTTGTTTTCATGCGATACATCTTCGACTTTCTTTTGCTTTGTCTGTTTTCTCGCATCCCGTGTATCACCGACTTGTCTACAAGCCTCAAGAGAACAACGAGAAAATGATTTCTCGCAGTCGGATTGCATTTCTTTCTTTAGATCTTAACTTTCAAATTTTTTCTAAAGTATTTGTATAACCATTCTGCAAAATGAACTGTGTACAAAATGAAATTTTCATAAAAAAATTTTAACACAGTATTCAATAATAATAATTAATTTTTAACTTTCATATAATTTAAAAAAATAATTAATTACTGTTAATTTATTACTCAATATTCTTATAAAAATTTTAATTTTAATATCTTTATATATCAAAAATTATATTAGTTAAAATTCAATGTTAAAAAACAGTATGCGATAAATGATAGATGATAGATTTAAACAAAAGTAATTCATAATTTATATATTAATATTTTTATTTATATATTAATTTATATATTAGTGTAGTATCAATTTATCAACAGTTTATGCCTGAATATATGAAATGTATATTATTAAACGGTGAAAATCGTGGCAGTGATGATTTACCAGAGGCTTATTATTAAATTTATTAATAGAAGATTATTTATTATTAATATGAAATTGCTAATTATTTAAATAATCAACGTTCTTATAAAATTGAGAAAATTACATTAATTAAGATTTGAAAACATTTTTATATGGTATTTTTAATTTTCATTTTAAAAATTCATTTTTAAAATTCAAGAAACATATCTACAAGATTTAGAATTATTTAAAATAATTTGTATTTACATATAAAATTAAAGAATTAAATAGATATTATAAAATATTGTAATATAAATGTTTGAAGAAGAATTTAAAATAATTTTAATTATGATAATTATAATTATTTTAATTAAGAAATAATTTTGTAAATATATGAGCTTCTGTGAAAATGTTTAAGATGGTTAACTATTTCCTATTGTTGTATCAATAACTTCTCTAAAATCAAGTAAATTTTGAAAATTCAAAAGAAAGATTTAAATTCCATAAAGAATATTTATCAACAATGATGTTTTACTATATAATTATAAAAATTAGTCGTCCCGAAAGTACCTTTTTCGCAATTTTTTAACCTATTCCGAAGAGTGCCTTCTCTCCCACCTCACAGAATCTCGCGTGGGAGGGATCGTCTGGCATAAAATAATCTATTTCGCTTGCTGGTGGTAGCGCCACTGGAGGGGCTCTCACAAGCTAAGAGAGGGAGAAGTCAAAGCCGAAGAGACGATGAGGGCGGGGCCAGAACTACGTATCTTCGAGATGTACGACACCGACTTCTCCAGACAAGTTTCACCGTTGACGTTAGAAACACGTACACGTAAGTTTGGGTCCCAGCTCGTATCTTGTTTGTAGATACCAGGTATGGCCTACGAATTACCGTGATCGTGATCGCGATTGTGATTAGGATTTCAACTACTCTCTATCTATATATGTATGTGTATATATGCATATATAGATAGATAGATTGATATATAGTAGATAGATATATAGGTATATAGATATACAGATATATAGATATATAGATAACGATAGAGAGATAGAGAGAGAGAGAGAGAGAGCCAGATAAAGAGGGAGAGAAACTAAAAAAAGGAGGAAAAGAGGCGATCCAAAATGCAGGTCCAGCCAAGTGAAAGCTACGCTTTTTACTCGCTAAACGACAGTTCGGGCATTCCGAATAGCGCCGGTAGCTCTGCCAGTAATTCTCCTGATCACTATGGCGATAGTCGTTTCTCCCCAGGTAGTCAGCATTTGGTCGACCTCAGTTCACCTTTACCTGACCTGCATCCACATCATTCGCACGCAAGACTGCCAAGCTTTCAGTCTACAGCACAGCATCCACTGCTTCAGCATCACCAGGTCTATCAGCCCTATCTCTATGATAGCCTCGACGACTCCAAACTCCTGCCCAAATTCTACCAGCAATCGGAGCCGCGACGGCTTGAGGACCAATCGCCGCCAGGCTTCCTTTCCGAGCATAGCCGCGACCACGAACAGGTTGTTTATGTTGCGGATCCCTATTCACCTGGTGATAGGATGCCCTACGGTCTCGGCGACGTTCTTAAGTACAAACCCGATCCTGATGATTTCAAACCTCAACTCCAACTACAACAACAACAACAGCAGCAACAACAGCAACATCAGCAGCAGCAACAACAGCAGCAGCAATCGCAGCATCAGCAACAACCAGTACTTCCTTGTTCGACAACTATTAAAAGGGAAGCGGGTGGAAATTCTTGCAAAGCTAAAGCTCTTAAGAGGAAACGAAACGTCAGCATAGAACGTGATAATGAATCCGATGACAACAACTCATCTTCTTCGTCCAGCTCAGCGACGTCGAGCTCATCGCGATCAAAGATCCGAAGAAAGGGTGGTGCAACCGAAGAGGAGCTTCAAACACAGAGGGTCATGGCGAACGTAAGGGAGCGTCAGAGGACCCAAAGTCTTAATGAGGCTTTTAGTCAGCTGAGGAAGAGTATACCGACGCTACCCAGTGACAAGCTCAGCAAGATTCAGACTCTCAGACTCGCGGCAAAATACATAGATTTTCTTTATCAGGTGCTACATTGCAATGCGGAGACCGACAATACAGAGGACCTCGGTATGCATAATCCAACTTTTTCATATTATTTATTATTGATTTGTCTCATATTTGTAGCAAAATTCATCCCTTGCATAATAATTCAACGTTAGTATTCCAATTTTTCTTGAAACAAGCAGAAAATAAATCCTATTTAACAACAATTAACGCTTATACTAATATTCGGTTTATTTGAAAAAAAAGAGACTGCCCACACCTCTATTTATGGAGCATAAATAGTTGTAATGGAGTGCCGAATCGTTTATTATTATAAATAATTAATAGAAACAAAAGATATTTATAACAAAGTTTATCGCCAATTATTTGTGCCATTTCGAAAAGCTATACAAATACATTTGTTTGATGAAGCGATCAAAGAAATACGATTGACGTTACGACAAAACAATTGTATACTTAAATATAGCAGCATTGACTGTGCTTCTAATTAGTAAATTATTTACGTAACTGTTTAATGGTTGTACAGCGGTATGCTTGTTATTAACGCGCGGGATTAAATCAATGATCGGTTGGAAATTTACAAGAATCTTTATTTTTTTTCAGAATCAAAGTCAAAGAAACAGCGAATAATAAATGCATTAGCTTTTCGATCACGATATAATAGGTAATTACATTTTTTTTTAACAAGCCCCAAATCATAAATTAACACAATATCGTTAAAAAAAAAAGATTAATAAGTGACAATAATAAGCATACACTGTACTAAAAACATGACTCTTGATTTTTTTTCTTCAACATTAAAACATTGCTCTTTTTTTTTTTATCTACATTCATCTAATATTTAAGTATTTAAAAATCATACCTCTCATTACAATGCTAGTGCTTGGAAATATCCATTTAACTAAAGATTTGTAAAATCTTTTTCAGGCGAGAGGAACTCGCGAAGTGCGATTTTGTCGGCAGCACGTGATATCGCAGCAATTTCCCAGTCCTCAACATGCAGTTTTATGGCTCATGAGAAGCTGTCGTACGCATTCAGCGTTTGGAGAATGGAGGGTGACTGGAACTTGAATCTTTAAATAAGAAAAATCATTCGTCTTCTATAATGGAAGTATATGGAAAATTTTCAATATTTTACACGTATTATCGATTTTTGATATTGAAAAGAAGAAAATAGAAGCATATGAGCTTTGCATATCACATTTTGCTTTTCGATGGAAAGTAAAACTGTTGAACAAAGGAAAACGAGAAATTTGTACAGATTATTAGAGTATAGGTTTTTGAAAGTAATGTAATAATATCACGATATATGTATCTTAATTATTGCTAACTTCAATTATTTTAGATTAATCGTTAATTATGAATTGAAATTCATAAAATCGCGCGTGAATTTCAAGTAATAAATTTTTTTTTTATATTTCATAGATTACAAATAATAAGCAATTAATAAAGTATTATTATTCGTGGCTGCTTTACATGGCCTATAAATGCTTGATTAAAAAACTTTTTTTTATTGCTTTTATCGGCATTTTTATTTACTAGCGTATTTCAAATTGGAAATTCAAATTATTAGTAATACATATATAATATATTCATACGATGCCTATTTAATAAAATAATGAAGTTAGAGATTAATTAATATAAGTTAGACATTTATTTAAATTAATCTTGCTCCTTGAATTTAAAAATCGAAGGGAAGAAAAACTTTGTTTGCCTGAACATTAATTAATCCCATGCGCCACGCGTCAAAACGCCCCCTCCCCCCTGTCTTTCTCTGTCGCACAAACAAAACCTTCCGTGTTGAATATTCTTGGCCAATTCTTGGACCAGGAGTCCTCGGACATTCTCAAATCCAAGAATCTACGGTTAATCCTGAAGTAATCCTATGGCTTTCCAAGTTCGACCAATCGAACTTTACTGGTGCCACTGGTGACACTGGTGTTTAGCCGCCCAACAATGGCGGCACTCCTTCTCAATGGCTAACGATTATTGAGGGAATTCCCCCAGGGAGAGTCTTTCATTATTGAGGACCAGCAGAATTTGTCTCGCTCCCACTTTCCCGGGTCCCGTAAGTTCACGATTTATGGCGCTCGGTCGATGCGCTCGTCTTACCACGCACGCGCCTCTTTCTCCCTGCTTGTATTCTCTTAGCCACGCTTTACATCCTTTATTTCCGATATTCATGGACCACATTCTCGTTAATTGAGGACAACCTATCAGATGTCCTACACTGAACGTGGAGATTGTAAATATGCTTTTAAAAACTATCATATACACACGATATTGCTAATAACTTTTTGTAATGTGTACGACGAATTTTTTGTCATTGGACTTCGGAACTGAGGATCTAATTTGAAAATAGAATAATAAAAGTCGTTGGGAGCAGTTCTGAATAAGGAAAAAGGGACATAAACGGTCGATGTTTTTACAGTGTTAATGGGTTTGGGTTTATGAAGAATCGGAGCTTCGCGAAAAATAAATGTATGCCCGTAGAAAAAGAAAAGTGAAAAAAATCCCCTTAATAAGGTTTATTTTGAGACAGAGAAGCCGAAAGAAAGATCGATCGTCTTCGGGGCGATCTTGACAGGCGAGCGTGTGAATATTTCGGCGTCGGTTTATTTTAAACAGCAGTCAAAGCAAATGGAGCTTATGCTCACGTACGTTTGAAAAAGTCTCATCACAAAATCTCTTTGCAATGCCCAGTGAACGAAGAAAAATTGCGCGATCCACCGTTCAATTTTATTACTGTAAATCCCGCGAATATGCCTGTAAATGTGTCTGTCTTATCCGACGAGAGGATAAAAAGTAAAAATAATTCTTCTAAATTCTAAAATTCAAAATGCAAACTGTTTTAAGACTTAACTTATTATTTATAAGTTTTTAAAAATTCGTCTTCTTGAAATGTCTTAGTCGAAGAAATACTCTTGGATAATCGGCATTACCATTGATTTTTATTAAAATTATATATATGAGTAATTGTTTTCGTGATAATGACGTATATGTGAATACATATCCTTCTCGCAAAGGGTAAAAGCCATTCGGCACCAGAATCCAAAAAGTTCGGTAAAACTGAGATAGGGGTAATTTTAAACGGAGATTTATTCTCACTCTATAAAAATTTTTAACGAGTAGGTCGTAATTGACATTCTCTTAGTCACAACTCGGAGCGTGAAAAACAGTTGGTACAGACACAGCGACAGCTGTAAGATCTTTGTGGGAGCGTTCAATAGACAACGCGATGAAACAAGACGATGCGACGGTGGTGAAAAAAAAGGAAGACGTACGAAGAAAAGCAGTCAATACAAGTATAAGCTTTTGTAAAGATGCCTTTTATTACAAGTACAATATTTATGTGCATTACAATAAAATGCGAGACGAACTTTCCCATGTTCCTTCGTCTTCCCCGTATAATTGAATCATATAAATACTATCTATGCGAACGTCATCAACATAAGTAGCCAATAAGAAATAAGCGTTTCAGTGTTATTATCGTATCTACAGAATAATATTTAATAAAAACGATTATTTTTAATCGTTAATTATACAGCGTACCAAAGACAATATTGTTTAAGTGCATGAATATCATATGATTGATTTCGATAGAGAAATCGATTGTTGTACCCGATAATTCTACTAATGCGTGTACGAATATTCATGTATGCCGGCTCAAACTATTGTAAATAATTTGTATATTTCTATTGCTATATATAAATCGTGTAATGAGCAAGCGAAAAAACCTGCAAACTTGTACTTTTTTTGCGATTGTCTAATTTTAGAAGTAAAAATAAAGAGACGCGACGGCGCCGTTTCTGGAATCTTGGCCGGTTGTTGCATTAAAATAATTTATTAGTCTTGAAGGCGTTGCATATAATTGGACAGGAGCAAATTAACTTTACTTTCGATATAGCCGTCCATTTTGAAAGTGAACGGTTCTTCTATGAAACACAAAACAAGAGTTTTTTTCTTTTTATAATTTATAAGTCGTATTACTTCGATGCTTTTGTAAACCTACCTATATTTTCTCTATTAATCGAATGGTCATTTCCATCGATTCCGTGATATATTAATTGTATATTATATGTGTAAATATTGAAACAAATTTTATACAACATTGCTGTCATTATCAAATTCCTGCGTATATGGCAATTTAATTTTATAATGTATTAAGATATTAGCCTTTCATTCCTTACAGTAATTATGTACAGTATTTTTATATTTCATATATAAAAATTCGTTATAATAAAAATCGACAATAAAGATACATTATCCTTTTATTAATTCTACAAGTGATTCAATTTTTAAAGACATACATTGGACCATCCTGATATTAAATAAAAAATATATTTAATTATATTAGTACGTTGTGGATATTAATATTTTTGTAATTATAAAGCTGAATAACAAATAGTAAAAATTTTTATTGATTATGCTCAATATATTCGAAGTGAATTATCAATTGATGAATTGAACATTAAGTTTAAATGAAATGTTACGATTGTGTGTATATATATATATATATATATATATATATATATTTTTTTTTTTTTTTTTTTTCATTAGCCGAGAAAATTTTTAAATAGCTTTTTAAATGTGAAAAATATTCCTTTTTGGTGCATGGATCGTATAACAAAATTTTATTTAAGATATAAAATTGATAAAAAAAATTATGAATTGGCTTAACTTTTCTTGCTATGGAATTTTAACTTTCGATAAAAATAGTACAGCTATAGTATAACATCAATGATTCCAATATGAAACAAAAAACAAAACAAAAATAGCAAATGGATAATACATTAATTAAAATTAATTTTCTTTATGAGCAAAATTATGCCTATATATGTTCCTTAATAATAATTGTGTGTATAATTTCATATTTCTTATGGACAAAAGTATGTTTGAATTTGACGAGTTTAATGGCCAACTCTGCGTGCCAGGGCAAATATTGTTGCAAGGAAGCGCTGTGCGAAAGATAATATCGTCACAGTCTCACCCATTGGCTCGAAATGGTGTCATCGGCAATCACAGCACAACCAATCCGCGAAGAAACGTAGAACACCTCCTGATCGCTTTTATAGGTATTAGTTATGACTGCACTTTTTGCGTCGTAGTCTTTTATTTATTTTTTATTTACGATGAATTATAATATTAATGAGTAAATTTTCCCAAGTGTTACTATAATAATAATAAAAACAAAAAAATACATTATTCAGAATATCGGCACTTTAATTTTTGTTAAAGAATGAATAAAAAATCTTAATTTATTTTAGAAGAAGAATAGTAGGTAGAATTAATAATTCAATATTTTTTATTTGTCATTTCTTAGTAGTATATATTGGTTATTGATATTAAATTGAATATTTCCATTAAATTTTATTTAGAAACGAACTCTCGCGAGATTAAATAATATTACCACAACATAGTTTTATTAATTTTTTAATTAAATGAAATTTCTTATATTTCTAATAGCATTTCATATTTGAATAATCGAACAATATAATTTAATCTTTATTTATAAAATAAATTTATAACAAAAATATTTAATTAAGTATTTAATGATATGTATTTGCAATAGATTATTTTTTATCAGAGGTTGCAATTGTTTCTTTTCATGTAAAAAGATTTTTTATATGAAATAAGACGCCAATTACTTCATGGAATTATGTTAAATAAACTTTTCGATATAACATTTATTGTTGTATATAAACATATTAAGATTGATTGACATTATATTGATTTTCTAATGTTTTCTAACAAATGGTAAAGATTAATGTTATTTTAAATTATTTTTCATAAATGAGTCATTAATATAATTATTAGAACTAATGTAAAGTTAAATCGAAAAGTGTATGTAAATAAATTTATATCATCTTCAAATATTTGTAAGTCAATAAACAAAGAATAATAAATAATAGTACTTCAATGTAAGCATTCAAGTAATGTAATAGAAACTTCGTTTTGCCTTGTTTTATACAAACAAATTGCTTGTACTTAACAAATAAACACTTCTATTAAGCAACATGTTATTTCGTAAATATTCGTGACAAATGCGTAAAATCGAATTAAAAGAAAAAAATATCTTATTGTTGAACATACAAAAGATATTTAAAACGATCATGTTAAAGAGTTCTTGGAGTGTCTTTCGAGATTATTTAGGGGGCATATAATCTCGAATTGTGATATTTTTAATAATTTAAGATTTACGAGAACGAGTGTTTTAACGTTGTATATGAAAGTAAAAAAAGAATTGACGTTAAAAAGTTAAGCGGCAAAATTCAAGAAAGTAGCCCAACAATCATCAATAAAATTTGTACAATAAATCGAAAATATCTTAAAATAAAATTCAATAAAGGTAAGCTTTAATCCTAGTTTGTCCGTTCGT